TAAAACTAAAGGAAATGCCAAGGTAATGAGTGAAAGAACAATCCACACATTGTACATATGTGGGAGGTTTGGTCACAGTTTACATTGGCTTGAGCTGCACCCTGACGATTTGTATTTTCTCCACAGAAAAAGAAAGGATCAAAGAGCGGGAAGAAGAAAAAGAAGGAGAAAGATTTGACATCTGATAGGTGAGGTTACATATACGATGTACGATTTGCATCACAGAATTATGTCAATAGTCAATACAATTGCTGGAGAAAACGATTGCATTGCTTTTTTTCCATGTCTACTAGAACTCTTGAGTCTCTGTGTCAGGAGCTGGTGGAGCAGGGCTTGTTGAAGCAGGCAAATGAAGTTAGGCTGCAGGATTTCCTGGGTAAGACTTTGTATATTATTTGTGTAAACTGGTGTGCCGTTTTTTAAATCTCTATTTGTGCTGTCATAATCATAATTGTATGTGAGCTTTAAATCTGATCACAATCCACGTGTTGACACAATACAGAACTCTCACAGTTGAGCAGTTTGTAACATTGACGGTAACTGGAAACCTTTGAGTGGTAATGTGCTGCCCTCTTCTGGTTTGTGATTGCCAAAACACTATGCTCACAATGAACAGTTTCTAAGTGGCACATTAATCTGTGTTGTATGTACATTTTTAAGTCCTTTTTTTGTTTTTCCAATGATTCACAGTGCAGTTTAATAACTGTTGGCTTGATACTGGTTCCTAGGTGACTACAGCTACCTCGGGACAACACTGAGGCAAAATGACATTGAGCCCATGCCATCATTGTCAGATGTGCGGCAGGTCTTATCTCTGTATGCAGTTTTACCATTAGGTATGACAGTTATTTGATTCATGCTTTAAATAAATACAACTGAAAACGTTATTTCTGGTTTTAATATGAGATATGTGTGGTTGCAGGCTCTCAGGTGGTGCATGAGAAGGCTCCTCTGATAAAGGCCATCCTGCTGGCAGGGCCGGCAGGTGTAGGCAAGAAGATGTTGGTCCATGCAATCTGCCATGAGACGGGTGCCAACCTGTTTGATCTGTCTCCCCTGACCACGGCAGGAAAGTACCCAGGCAAGAGTGGCCTCGCCATGATGCTTCACATGGTGTTTAAGGTAAAACACTGGTGTTTATAAGAATCCAGTGCCACTGTCAGTTATGTTTGTAATGGTAGCTGTTATACTAAAGTTATTTTCATAACTGCTGTCAAACCATGTGAGCAAGTTTTTTCTTTGAAGTCAAACACCTCACCTACAAAACTGGAGCATAAACATAACAAGACCTACATAATATGTAATGCTTAATCTCATTAGAGATCTTATGCCTAAGCACTGAAGGTCAAATACCCCCAAAAATGCAAGCAGTGAATATTCTCCTGCTCTGGTATGTGTGGTATATGGGGCAGTATGTTGTCATGTCGTAACACTATTAGTTATGTTTAATATTTCATGGTGAATCTTTTGGAGCATGAAGAATTTTATGGAAGTGCCCTTTGCAGGTATTTACGTTTCAGCTCGGCCAGAAAGTAAGTATGCAGTTTTTACTTTCGCGTAGGTTGCAAGATTGCTGCAACCTTCAGTAATATGGATTGAAGACGCAGAAAAAATGTTCTACAAGAAAGTTCCCAAGGAAGAAAAAGAGGTATTTCTGAGCAGGATATAAGTTGAACAGCATTATCATGTTGTTTAAATGTTTCAGTTAATGATTTGCACCATTTTGGTCACAGTTAGATCCCAAACGCTTGAAGAAAGACCTGCCCAAGTCTCTCAAGTTGATCAAAGGGGAGGATCGTGTTCTGATAATAGGAACAACTAAAGACCCACTAAGTGCCGACATCAAGTCACTGTGTAAAATGTACAGCAAAATCATCCTCATCCCAAGACCTGACTACGGCTCAAGATACAGTAAGACTACCAGTAGACACATTGGGGAACAATTTTGTTTTGTTTGTGGGTCTGAAAAATGACTTTTGACTCTGTTTGCATCCAGTTTTGTGGAAGCAACTGATCAACAAGCAGGGAGGTGATGTAACTAGGGCACTGGACCTCAGCTCTCTTGCAAAGATTTCTGATGGCTACACACCAGGTCACCTGGTCAGGGTCGTCCAGAGTGTTGTCACCAAGCGTCGCATCCTACTGCAGGCAAACAGACCACTGACTGCTGCTGAGTTTGTTGCTCCATTAGCCAAGATTGACCCCATCTTTCAGGAAGAAGAAGAGGCCCTTAAAGTACAGTGCATATGTCATTTAGTTTTCACTGCATTTCTCATGATTGTAACAGCATGTAACAGTTGTATATCCATTTTAATAACATGATCTTGTTTATTTGATTTTGTGTTTTTCTTTCTTGTGTATCACCAGAACTGGTATGCAAAGACCCCCCTGGGAAAGAAGAGAATTAAAGCTGCCACAGGAAAAGATGAAGAAGTGGCACCGGTTAAAGGCAAAAGTGCGAAGAAAAAAGAGAAAAAATAAGCCTGTCGTCATGTTTTTATCACAGCTGAATGTAGACATTTATTGAAGCGTGAATGTGAGTTGCCGTCTGATAACAAAATAAATAAAATTAAAAGCAGTCATTTTGTTGGTTTTTAATCAGGGCTGCTGGGTACATATTTGAGGGTGCAACATAAATGGTAAGCAGTGCATTGCTTCAAATAGGACTCCGTACAGTCCTATAAGGGAAGGTGCTAACTCCTGTCTTGTGACAATCATATTGAGAGTTATTCTGAGGAGGGCATGATGATCATTTTGTTCAAAAATAACATAAATAGTCAGTCTATTTCTGCTCCTAGCGATAATCAAATTTCCACAGAGTGCTCCATTTCCATGTTTGCATTATGTTTACTTTATAATACCTAATTTTGCATGTGATTATATATAAATAACAACCTACCACAGGCACTTACATGCTGCCAAACAAAGTAAATGCTCTGTACGAAGAGGATCTGAAAAACAAGCGCAGATTCGCAAGAGCACTGCGTACGCACATACATTGCCGCATTGCCCCTTCCTGCCAGTTGGCATTAACAGTTATTTAGCTGTCCTTTGGCTCATGGACTGTCTTTCCACAAAATCTTGCACAAGTATGTGAATCCATTTGGAAGTTATGTGCCTTTCTGCAGTAGGCCACTCCCACTGCCATGCCCCCTTTAAGCCAATACAATAGGCATGAACGCCAACACACACCTACACACACTTGGTTGCAGCCAAAAAAACTCAGTGGCCTCGAGTGGTCAGACTCCTATGGCTGTCCAACCCAAGGCCATGACATAATCAGACATACCAATACTGTCAGTTGGATTTTCTTCAGTCAAGGGCATTTAATGTCTAATGGCTATGGTTGCGTGGCTGTGATACATGATTTTGAATACTACATTTGGCATGTGACTGACAGAAATAACACAGAATGAACATCATAGCGTTACACACGTCTGTAGCATGTAGCCTGGGCTCATGATCACATGACTACACGTTTGTGATTGAATATATGTGTCCAACATTTCTTTTTTCCTCTATTATGACTGCAGTCAGGTGTAGAGAGTCTGGATCAGAGGAAATGTGACACACAGGAGGAGGGAGGGGGGTTTCCAAACAGGGATCCAGAGGCTTAGGTGGGGTGTTCAGCTGTTTTGTCGAGTTCTAAATTCACTCAACACATCCTCATATTGCCTTGGTTCCTTAAACATTACTCTATTTTTAGACCATATGCGCCATCAATGGGATGCTACGCACAAGAAGGCCCACACTGGAAGATGTCAAGTCTATCTACTGGCCGTCCTCACTGTGGTCGGACATGATTTGGAGCCTTTTCTTAGATCAGTTTGAGTCCAGCTTGATCAAAAAGCCATAAAATGCCCCAAATTTCTACACTAAAATCGAATAAAACACGTTCTGCTTGGGATAAATAAGCGAAAATCCTTCAAGTGCGCTAAATAGACTCTTTATCCTTTCCCACTCAAATGTCAGAGAGAGCTGTTAAAAGCTTTGTGATGAAGGGGCTGCTGCAGATCTGTAAAATGAGACTGCTTTGCCTCTACGAGCCATCATTCACCCTCACAGTGACGACAAGTTGTTTTTTGTCCCCCGAGAGATTATCCTGTCGAGTTTCACTGGACTTAGGAGTGCTCAGTGGCACATGGGGCTGTCTGTCAAACTGAGGTGCACACAATGCTGGGTAGTGCTGGCTTTATTCTGTCTGAATGAGGGAACCCCAAACCAAACTTAAACCTTGTTGTTGTAATGCAAACAAACAATCCAACATTATGTTGGAGTTGGAGGAGCTAGAGGAATTAACATCAGCATTGCATCGCTGCTGTGTTACTTTGAAGGTTGTCTTTGATTTTTAGTATAGAGAGCTCTGCAGTCAGCCACCCTATCACTTATTCTGATGTCAGAGAATGACCTCATATGGGAATGCCAATCAAGTGTGATTTTCATTTAATCCTTTGTGACCTTTCACTTGCAGCAGTGGGGGAAACTCCCTGTGGAGATCTATGGACTTTGATCTGTCTAACCTAAAGTTAAGGACACTGACAGATGTGGGTCAGTATAGTGAAGGGCACGTGATTGTCTCGGACTAGTTGTTTTGATGCAAGGGATCTTAAATCTCTGTTCGAGCAACCTCATAGTGAATTTGATTATGTGTAAAATAACACATTCATGTGCAGACAGTACACATCATGTATCACTTACATCGTCACGCTACATGAATTTAACCAAACTTCTACTTACTGAGCTGCTTTCAAGTCATTTGCACAAAGCTCGTCTCTCACTCATTCATGCACACCAGAAAACCATCAAACACACTAAGCCCATTGTATACATTTCGATTGTTTGTGATAGTTCCATTGATGCTGGACATGAGTTGCCTCACACCATTAAAGCCAAAGCTATCCCTACCCTCATACTGACAGAAGGCTATTTTGGAGGTTAGTATGTGGGGAGAGATATGTCAGCTGTTCAGCACTACGCTCCATCAAAGCAAGAAAAAAAAAAGAAAGCGCTATAGGCCGTCTGCTTTGGGGACAGGGACGCAGCTTGCAAACCTGGGCATGCTTTCCTTTGGCTAAACGTTTGTTGTTAATCTTAAAGGCTTTGTGTGACACAAGACAAGACTCGGAAAGGTCTGTTGCCATGGTGGATGTTTTTTCCAGCTCTTTTTTTCAGGTGAAGGGGTTGTTTTTTGTCATCCGTGCAACAAGAGGCCATGGACGGATTTATTCTTTCTAGAAAGCGCCTCAATTGAAGGTGGGTGCATCGCTGCAGAAGATCTGATGATCTTTTTCTAGTCCTTATTTCTTTGTTTACTTTGATAGAACCAAAGGAAAATCACTATTGAACGTGGTGTCAGTGGAAAGTTAGTTAGATCATATGCAGCACAGTTGCAGTCAGATATGTACGTTTCATGAGAGGTCAAAGTATTTTACTCTCTTTACATTAGCTCTTTTAACTTTGCTGAACTCATTTCGAAGATGTTTTTTATTTTGTATGATATTTATTCATCTTTATTGCTATGTTGGAAAAGATTTCAGTGGATATTGTAACTGATCAGGCCTCTAGAGGTAATCTAGATAATGGCTGGCAGATTCAGTGTCGCTGTGTGACGCATTATGAAATGTAATTATAGCTGATGAGAAACAATGACCCTCCTCTCAGAGAGCCTCATAATGATAGTGGGAGGAGCCAGCCTTCGAAAAGTGTGTCACGATCTACATATCATATCAATCAGTTTGGTGATTGACAGGTCTCATTTGGCTTCTCGTTTGTTTTTTTAAAGCTTCCCCTTCTCCTCAGTTCAGTGCATGCAGCCTGATGGAGGTGGCATCACAGCTGAGTCTATATTGGTGGTGCTGAGCTCAGCCGAGTGAGGTGACAGAGATTACTCTGCTCCTTATTACTGAGGAGGACTGGCATGCCATCGCAGGGTTCGAACATATCAGAGTGATGCCATGTGTGTCCATTTTAATAGGTCGATGTTTCCATGTTAGAGGTGATGGTCTATATCATTATTAGCCTGAGAGGAATTTGTTTGCCATGTGAAATGAAGTCTTGTCCAAAACAAAGAGGGCATACAGTGCAACAGGTTATTGACAAAGATGCTGAATGGCAGTAAGTGTGAATGAGATGGTGAAGTTTAATATTCTTTAAAACAACATTAAAACTGATGGTAAGTTATCTTCTGAGCCAGACTATTAACTGATATGTGCATTTCTGTTGTAGTTGTAGCCCTTTTGTGATACCTCTGGCAAAAAGCAAGATTCCAAAATCACGCTGAGAGAAGAGCAGAAGACATGGGTGACAACATACCTGGAGGAATAGTAGCTGCTGCAAGTAAGTCCTCTCCTCACACAAAGTTGTACAGTTGTTCGGTGTTATAGCAAATGATGTTTTGAATCTCTAATGCTGCGTGTGTTTGTCTGCCAGAGAACCGTCTGCAGGTGGTGAAGGGTTTGGAGGATGTGCAGGTGTCTGAGTGTGAGAGCTGCTCCTTTGACGTAACCTTGAATCTGGCCTATATTGAGGGCGTGTGGACCAGAGATGGGCTGCGGCTCAAGTCCAAGCCCACCTGTCGCATCAGCACTCATGGGAAGAAACACTCCCTCATACTGAGCAGGGTGGCTTTGGGAGACGCAGGCCTGTTCTCTTTTCAGGCCCCCGGCATTCAGACGTCAGCCAGACTCACTGTCACAGGTAAAGTGGTTAAACAGACGGTGCTATTTCCGTGGACACAGATTGTGTCCAAGTGACCAAGACAACAGCTGGGTCAAATGCAGGTCAAAGCCACGTGGCAACCTCTGGGGCTGAAAAATGAAACCAGTGTGCAAGTGCCTAAAACTGCAGTTCCTTAAATGGCCACTTGAGACGGGCTCCAAAAGCGAGTCAGTTCCGACACCAATGGAAAAATGCCCAAATTTAAAAATATTTCAAATATGGTTTTGTCTTACCGCATAGTCTACTTGCATCTATCAGAAAAAAATAATGCCTAAATGTTGTTTAAGCCATGTTAATAGCGGGGTTCTAGAGATGGATTTGTCCAGTCCAGACTGAAATAACTCAACAACTGGCGGATGGATTGTCATGAAATCCTTCACAGACTTTCAGGGTTCTTCGAGGATGAATCCTTGTGACTTTTGTGATCCCCTGACTTTCCCTCTAGTCCCACCAGCATGTTAACATATTGGTTTGTATTGAAATATCTCAACAACTGTTGGCTGTGAATTTTGGTACAAACATTCACAGTCCAGAGAGGATAAATTGTGATTACTTTGATTCTCTGACATTTCACCTCATCATCAATTCAACATTTCAGTTTGTCCAATGCATTAACTAAATCAACCTGCAAAACTAATGACATTCCCATAAGCCTCAGCTGTACTTTGTTAATGCTAAAATGCAAATGTTAGCATGCTAACGTGCTAAACTAAGATGGTGAACATGCTAACCATCAACAAATTAGCATTGTCACTGTAAGCATGTTAGCATGCTGATGTTAGCATTTAACTCAAAACACTGCTATGCCTCTCTAAGCACAGTCTCACAGAGCCACTAGCATAGCTATAGGCTTGTTTGAACCCTTTTTAACTTTTGATAGTTTTAAACAGCTACATCAGGGCCTCATCACCTTTATGAATGAAGAAACAACACTCACACTTCTTTTGTCTTGTGAAAAAGTTCTGTTAGGTTGCTTTAACTGAGTTTGCAGTCATGGTTTGGTTATCATCTGCCAGCTAGGGACATCCACATAGTGACAGAGCTGGAGGATGTTGACACGGTGGAGCGCCAACCTGTAAACTTCGTCTGTGAGGTCAACCAAGTGGATTTGGAGGGTCGGTGGTACAGAGATGACAGCCGAATTCGACCTGGGGACAACATCAAGATCAGACACCAGGGTGAGACACAAATGGCATTGGTTTCACAGAGACAAAAGCCTAAGCAGTAAAAATACTCCTAGTGTTTGCTTCAGAGTATACTTAACTTTGCTTAAGCTGTGTTTGAGTGGTCATAGTGGTTGCACTGGTTTCTAGGTGTGAAGATATAAAAACAAAAATATGAACCTGGTTAAATACAGCACATAAATATGATAAAACTTTTTGTTTTGATCTGATTGCAGGTAAAACTCACACCCTGTGCTTCAAGTCAGTCAGGCCAGAGCACGCTGGAGAGATCAGATTCACTGCAGAGCGTGTCTCATCTTATGCAACTCTCACAGTAAAAGGTGAGCCAACAGACTGTTTATGCCACAGTTTATAGAAACATGGATATATGAAGAGATATTGTTTGGTTGTGTAAGGTTTTCAGCCTGGTTCTCCCTTCCTCAGAGCTCCCAGTCCAAATAGTGCGTCCTCTGAGGGTCAAAATAGCCATGTATCGCCACCGGGGTCTGCTGGAGTGCCAGGTGTCTCGGCCTAATGCTCAGGTCACGTGGTACAAGAACAGGAAGGAGCTCGTGCCCAATAAGAAGTACCAGATGATCAGCCAAGATGTCTACAGGCAGCTGACCATCGATGACATCTGCTCCTCAGATGAGGACACCTACACCTGTGATGCAGGAGATGACAACACCTCCTGTCAGCTTTTGGTGGAGGGTGAGATGCCTGTTGTCATAATAATCACATCAGTCACAATGTAAAGTTCATGGCCTACAGTATGTTCTGCATTCATGTATCCCCACAAAATATTTAATGTGTCATGAGCCATGCCCATGTGCACATGCTTCTAGTTTGCAAGTCAGGAGTTGTGTTAGTGGTGGTAATGTGTATTATGGCTGTACATGCAGAGCAGGCTATCAGCATAGTGCGGGGGATGAGCTCAGTGGAGGTGACAGAGCCAGAGCCAGCGCTGTTTCAAGTGGAGACCAGCCTGAAATCAGGGAGGCCCCCCCGCTGGACCCTGAACGGTGAGGTGCTGGAGCCTTGCGCAGCAGTGAACATCGACAGGCAGGGCACCCTCCACAGCCTCTGCTTCACCTACACAGAAAGCTCCATGTCTGGCCCTGTGCTCTTTGTAGCTGGGAAGAGTCGTTCCACTGCTCAGCTTACTGTCAAAGGTGAGTTGGCTTAACCTTGTCTGAGTGTGGAAGAGAGGCTGTGGATGAAGCAATTTAAAGTTGAAATAAGTTTGTTCTATGCCTTATGTATGCCATATGTACATTTTATATCCTTTATATGATCCTGAAAAGGATTAAGCGGGTTAAGTGAATGAATATATTATATATAGGAGTGTCTCATTAAGCAGGATTACATTTCTCCCTCTTAGAGCGGCCTCTTCAAGTTGCCCACCACTTGGAAAATGCAGAGGCGAAGGAGAACAGCTCTGTGACTCTGAGCTGTGCGTTTGTGCCCTCGCCCAGAGTGGTGAGGTGGTTTAAAGGTCGTACGGCTCTGAAGACCAACAACAAGTACAGCATGAAGAGAGAAGGGAAACGAGCACAGCTGACCATTCATGGTTTGTCAGCCATGGATGCAGGACAGTATCGCTGCATGGCTGGGGGTGCACAGAGCACAGCACATGTTAAGGTAGAAGGTAAGTTAAACACAGTTCGGTTTTCTTTATTTCAGTTCAGTTGATGCTTTGTCATAATCTATTTCCCCTTTTTATTGTAGTGCGGACGCTGAAGCTGGTAAAACACTTAGAGCCAGTGGAAATTGAGGAGGATAGCATTGCCAGGTTCACGTGTGAGCTCAACTACGTGGTTGCCAATGTGGAGTGGCTTCTCAACAATGTTCGCCTCTATTGCAATGCCATCAACAGGATCCAGCACATGGGCACTATGCACAGCCTCACAATTAAGAATCCGCGACCACAGGAGAGCAGGGTCACCTTCAAAGCCGGCCTTCTCTCTGAGACAACCATCTTAAAAGTCAAAGGTCAGCTAACTGAAGTGTATAATCAGTAGCTTTTTTCGAATACTTGCATTTCTATGTGTTCATTTCTGAGGAACATGCACACTTAAGATTGATAATCTTGGCTCCAGAGCATCCAGCAGTGTTCCTGAGGTCTCTGGAGGATGTAGTGGGAGAAGAGCAAGGGGAGGTCTGCCTGCAGTGTGAGATTTCCAAAGAGAAAGTGACCCCTGTTTGGAGGAAGGATGGCGAGATCCTGACCACTGATGATAAACATGAGTTACTCCAGTCTGGGAAGTCCATGGCACTGATCATCCATTCCCTGAGCAAAGATGATGCTGGACATTACACCTGTGACCTGGGCACCAGCCAGACCAAGGCTAAAGTTACTGTGCATGGTGAGTAGTAGTAATTGGAGAAGCTCGACACTCTGAAGATCAAGTGTTGTGCTCACATTAAGCTGTCTGCCATTTGACAACAGTGCCACCAAATGATTGATAGAATGACAGAAGGAGCCTCAAATAACATTTGGCTTCATTCACCATCCATTCTTAAGAGGAAACGTCTTCTTAAAGGTGTACTAAGCAGTAATCAGTCACTGTTTGTAAACAGGCTCACCATTGAAAGTAAAAGCCAGATTTACTCTTGTTTGTTGTTTCACCTCCCTATATTTGCATTTTTTACCATGCTATGTATTTGATGCCTGCTGCTTACAGTGCGCCACCTCATCATTATCTTTTTATAAAGCACCAACCTCAATTGCGCACTGTCGATACATGCTCATAAACATCCCGAACACAGTCGCGCACCCTTCTTTGTTCTTTGAACGAGTAATAGCATCTCATGCATCTTTTTTTGTGTTAATTTATATCCATTACTGTCCTGACTCACTAGATATGACAGCTCATTAGGCTCTTTCATTTGGGCAATCTTGACTTAATCCTCCCAACATTTCTTTTCAGTTTCTGTGTGTGCACAGGGCCTGTAGTCTCATGCCCTTTTTATGTGGGTTGGCAGATACTTAACCTATGCTAACTAGGATCAAGTGACATACTCTTTCAATTTACAAGGACAAGGGGACTCATTATTTTAAGAGCATGGGTGCCGACAATTCTGCAGTTTAAGAATAGGCCATGAATCTGATGGATTTTTGTCTTCTCAATATCAAATGTAGGAAAAACTTAGGAAGATATAAGTGAATGAGACCCTTTTTTCTTAAAACAGACACTAAAGCAATCATGAAACAGGAATATAGAGACTTAAAAATTTCAGGTCAAGCTCTTTTCCAGGTATTAGTGGTGTTCCTCAGGGCTCTGTCTTAGGTCACCTTTTATTTATCATCCACTCTCTACCTCTTGGCCATATCTTTTGGAAATGTGGCATTCAGTTCCGTTGCTACATGGATGACCAAAGATGTTACATGTCTTTCTGTGGTGTTGCAGTTTCTTTCTATTTATCTGTAGAGATATGTTTTCTGTAATTAGGCTGTTCTGTTGCTATATTTGTCTACAGACTTACGCATCACTATTGTTCATCGTATAAAGATAACATCAGTCCAAGAAGGCGAATGCTGCACTTTTGATTGTCAACTCTCTCACGATCTCGATGACGAGCCTTCCTGGACCATCAATGGCCAGCTGGTTGTCACCAATAGCCGTATCCAGGTTATCAACAATGGCCGCCACTATAAGATGACCATTAGAGATGCTTTACTGACTGACGCTGGAGATGTGGTCTTCACAATTAAAGACCTAAGCTGTAGGACCATGCTCTTTGTTAAAGGTGAATACCTGGTTGTCTCAGATAAATTGATCAGCTCTGTCTTGTTTGTGTTTGTGTACGTAGCAATACCTGTGTTTTACTTTGAACTACCATTTGGTAGATGCATTTATACAAATAATCCTGAATATGAGTGAATGCATTTCCCCTCCATTAGAGAAGCCGGTGCACATCTTCAGGGAGCTGCTGAACACTAAGGCAGTGCCAGGCGAAGACGCAGAGCTGAGCTGTGAGATCACCAAACCAGAGGTCCTGATCCGTTGGCTGAAAAATGGCCGTTTGATCAGGCCGAGCCCCAAGTATGTGATGAGTGTAGAGAAGAACCTGGCGCGACTGGTGATCAAGAATTCCACCATCAGAGACTCTGGAGAGTACTGCTGTGAGGCCGATGGCATTGCCTCGCGTGCCAAGCTGGAGATCAGAGGTAGGTGTGGGCTTTCAAAATAAATGTTAGTTGATGGCTATTAACAATATAATGTCTTTACTGTAATGTTGCACAATGCTACTCTGTGCTATGTCCTGTTTTGCAATTTGGATCTGTGACTGGAAAACTAAGTGTGAAGCTTGACCCAATATCCTAAACTTCATTGTTCCTTTCAGAGCTCCAGCACACATTTGCGAGGGAGTTAAGGGACACGCGGGCAGAGGAAAAGGGTAAAGTGACCCTGGAGTGTGAGACCAGGCGGCCAGCCAAGCGAGTGACCTGGCTGAAGGGCATGGTGGAGCTGAGGTCCGGTAGGAAGTATGTCATCAGGCAGAAGGGTGTGGTGCTGTCCCTGACCATCACCTGTCTGGACAAGTCGGACACAGATATTTACATTTGTGATGTCGGTACCATGCAGAGCCGGGCACAGCTGACGGTGCAGGGTGAGATCATAGTGAACATGTGTTTCTTGTACCTACTGTATATGATGTTCACAGGATTTTTGACTTTCCAACTTCTCCATGTTTCTCTCAGGTCAGAGGGTTTTGATCCTGGATGAATTAGAGGATGTCGAGTGTCTAGAGGGCGACACGGTCACATTCAAGTGTCGAATTTGTCCCAGTGACTACATTGGGGTAAAATGGTATCTGGACGAGACTTTGCTGTACACAAATGAGCTCAATGAGATCCAGATGGTGGCCGGAGGCTACCACACCCTCACATTTAGACAACTCGCCCGCAAAGACACTGGCACTATCTCATTTTCAGCGGGGGACAAAAGATCGTACGCCTCACTGTTGGTTAGAGGTGAGGCTTTAATCTTCTGGAGAGTTTTACTGTGTACTTTCCTGTCACATTTCTTAATTTGGCTTCATCTCCCCGTGTTACCAGAGAGGCGTCCCACCATCATTAAAGCACTGGAAGACTGCGAGGCTATTGAAGGGGGTGGTTTGGTTTTGTCTTGCGTGGCCTCCAAGCCATGTCACATCCTGTGGTACAAAGATGGCTGCTTGATGTGGAACTCCTCGAGGTATTTTGCCAGTCGTTCCGGCTGTGAGGCCCGGCTGACGATTCGGGAGGTCAGCAACAACGATGCTGGAGTGTATGAGTGCAGTGCTGGATCTGTTACCACGAGGGCCGTTGTGACTGTCAGAGGTATGAACAGCATTTTGTATTGACCTGTTGTTGCAGGACTGCTATTGCTCACTATTGCCCAACATTAAATGCCAGAGGGATGTGACATATTTTATCAGATTTTAAATGATTTTATTGGATTATTTTTCCTCTCTGTTGTCTTTTTAAGCCATCCCAGCAGAGTTCATCCAGGCTCTTAAGTCCTTGGAGGCCAAAGAGGGGGAGACCGTCACCCTGACCTGTGAATACTCTCTGCCTGGGGTCCAGTGCCACTGGAAGAGAGGTTTCGAGAGTATCAGGCCTGGAGACAGATACCTGATTAAACAGAGGAAGACGATCAATTCTCTGACCATCAAAGCACTGAAGCCTCTTGACTCAGGAGAATATACCTGCCAGTGCAGAGATCACCACACTACAGCAAGCCTCAAAGTACACGGTATGTATTTAGCTAACTTTACCAAAAACCTACACAGTCAATTCAGACTTCTTTGTGATTTATTCTCAGATTTGCTGCTGTGCTCTGCAGTGGTATTGATGCATGCATAGTAACCCAGTCTATGGTGTATACTGAGGCCTGAGATATCCCAGTTGGCCAATAATAAATTAGTTTACCTTCAATAATGAAATTCAACATTGTCATTATTATGTTGTATTTTGTTATAGAGATGTGTTCTTGAGTGCTGTGTTGTGGTTTAAAAAGTTTTGCCGACTGGCTGGCATATTATTTATGTAAGGCACGTCCATGTATCAAAACCTTTCAGTACTGCTGTGCACAGCTTCACCATTTTCACCTTGCTTCTAACTGAATTCAGTAAAAACGTCACCTCTTGTTTTCCAGCTATTCCCATAACATTTATACAGAAGTTAAAGAACATGCAAGCAGAGGAGGGAAGCAATGTCCTACTGCGCTGTGAGCTGTCTAAACCTGGAATTCCAGCTGAATGGAGGAAGGAACATGAGCTGTTGAAGAATGGAGTGAAATACCAGATAAGGAAAAGAGAGACCACTCTGGAGCTTCTGATCTGGAAGCCTGTTCCAGAGGACAGTGGGGTCTACAGCTGTGCCTGTGCTGATCAGATAACATCTGCCACTGTCAAAATCACTGGTAAGACATGATTTACAAATAGGCTAATGGGTTTTAGCGATAGGTTTTAATTGATTTTGACAAACAATGCTCATTATCAACAGTTATTTATCTCAATCTACAATCACCCATGACTCCTCAGCTCTCCCAGTCACCTTCAAGCAGAAGCTGAGGAATGTGCTCATTGAGGAAGGCAGCACTGCGGCTCTACGCTGCGAGCTGTCGAAGCCTGGGTACAGTGTGGAGTGGAGGAAGAGCGGGGATGAACTCATCAGGAATGGAGAGAAATATCACATACGACAAAGAGACGGGCTGATTGAACTGAGGATCCTTGATGTTAGACCTGAGGACAGCGACATCTACACATGCATCTGTGGAGACATAGAGACCACTGCAACTCTGACTGTTAATGGTATTTATTTATTATTTAGTTGCGACTAGCAGCTCTATTGCTCGCTCTGACTGGTTGGTTGTTCACTCTTCAAAACTTTCCCCACCCTTTTGCAGCCACAGTTTTCACACTTATAGCCTGAAATTTGGCATAGAGGTCAAGTGTGTGTGTGTGTGTGTGGGTGGGTGAAGGTGTGCATTTGTGCTCATGCCAATTGGCTAAAGGCAGTGTGGCAATGGAGGAGGATGCGTATACATACGTGGCCGCAGATATTCAAATTCATTCTTGTTTCCCAGTATGTTTAATGACAATATTTCATTGTAACATCACATTAAAAACACACAGTAACAGTTTGAGACCAGATATCTGTATATATTACACAGTGTTCATTAAATTTGGGTGGTTATTCTTTTTTTGATGACCTAACTTTATCTTTGCCTCTCAGCTCTTCCCATCACCTTCAAGCAAAAGCTGAAGAATGTCCAAGTGGAGGAAGGACACAACATCACACTGTACTGTGAGATCTCTAAAGCGGGTGTCCCTGTGGAGTGGAGGCTTGGAGGAGATCTGCTGGAGAATGGAGAGAAATACCAGATTAAGCAAAGGGCCTCAGCCCTGGAGTTGATCATCAGAGATGCTGAACCAGACGACAGCGGGGTCTACACCTGTGTGTGTAGAGAGCAGAAGACAAAGGCCACTGTTAAAGTTATCGGTATGTTCAGTGTGTGAGATGAGTGCACTGAAGCGTAGTCTCTTTTCCCATGTTTAGAAGTTTCATGAGCTACCTGTAAAGTGGTTCTTCAACGATCTTACCTGTGTTCTGCTTAACACGTGTTAAACAGCATCTGTGTTTGGTTCAACAGCTGTTCCCACCACATTTAAAGTTAGCCTGAAGGGCCAGGAGGCTGAAGAAGGGAAGAGTGTGACTTTACGCTGTGAGCTGTCAAAGAAGGGAGTCCAGGTGCAGTGGCAGAGAGACGCTCAGGTGCTGTCTGAGTTTACGTACCGAGGGAAGTATCTGATCAAACTAGAAGGAAAGACAGCTGAGATGACCATTGTCAACGTCCAACCTGAGGATGCTGGGAAGTACAGCTGCATCACAGGAGATGAGAAAACCACAGCCGAAGTTAAAGTGAAACGTAAGTTTGAAGCCATCAAAAACCAATGAGAACACACATCATAACTGCTTCCCACATTAGCCACGGTATATTTATAATGATTATATGGTTATAACTCTATCATTTTGATCATAATATCTAAAAGGCTGTTATTATGGGTGTCACCCTTGGAAAGTCCAATTATATCTCTCACTTAAATTGTGCACTTGTGACTTAGTGATACGTAACTACAGCTTCCATTAGAATTTCAAATGTTTATATACATTTTGTGCAACATCTCAAATCCCATATCTATGTAAACAAACTGTTAGATTTCTCTTATGGCTTTGAGGAGAGGAAGAACAGACAAACAGAGGTGCCTGCTCCTTGTATTGCAACAAAAAAGTAAATGGAAATGGCGGGTTGCAAATCAATGCAATCACTGAACACTGTTTTTTTAAATATACCCACAACAGCACTTCCTGTGACATTCAAACGAGAGATCCAGCGCATGGTGGTGAAGGAAGGGGACAGTGGCGTTTTCAGCTGCGAGATCTCCAAACCTGGAGCTCCTGTGGAGTGGAGGAAAGGCAGGACGATCCTGAAGCCTGGAAACAAATACGAGATGAAGCTGGAGGGACCTTTCGCTAAACTTGTCATCAACGACGTGGAGGAGAGTGATGGTGGCAAATATACCTGCAAGACCAAAGACAGCCAATCAACTGCTGAGCTCATTGTCCAAGGTAGGAGAAATTCAACTCCCCCACATATGTTTTAATGCTTTGTGAATCACATTTCTTTCACTTTTTTGAATTTTCCCGCTGTATTCAACAGAATCACCTAAGCGCAGACGTCAAAGAGGTCAGCTCTAACATAGTACAGTGAGAACAAAGTAGACCTAGTGGTCATTAGCACTGTGTGAGCTCCATTATGTAGCTTCACTGAAGCTCAATGGAGCGATTATTGTTTCATATGTCACATTATAGTCTAAATGTCACAGTACTTGGTGTGTACTGTACATTACTTCTCATCACATCACTCCTACAATGTAACTTCCATGTAATATTATGTTCCTTGTCCTACCAAAGACAAGGAAGTGTGTTATTGAATCCAGTGAATTCAGCAGACATCTGCATGATCAGATAATTATTACCATGTTTTCTCTTTAGCTTTCTTTGATCCAAAAGACATTAACTTGGTAGTATTTATGTCTTCATTCTTCATTCATCTTTATTTGGCCCTCTGTGATCAATAATTCTAAGTATACTATACACCTTTTCCTACTTTTATCTGTATCAGTTGTTTTTCAATTTCAAGTAAGATTTCTTGTGTAAGATTTGACTCTGATTGGCAGATTTGCCAGCAAGTTTCAAGATGCCACTAGTTAACCAGGAGGCAACGGAGGGCAACAGTGTGGTTCTGCGCTGTGAGCTCAACAAACCTGCCCCTTCGGTTGAGTGGAGGAGAGGATCAGAGCTGCTGAAAAATGGAGACAAATACCAGATGAGGAAGAAGGACCTGCAGGTGGAGATGAAGATTACTGAGCTCAGTCTGGACGATGCTGGAGATTATACCTGTATATGTGGAGAACACAGTACACAAGCTAGGATCACTGTGAATGGTAATAACTGCATACACTATGATGAGTTGCACTGTTTATTTTAGTGCATGAATACACATATTAAAAGGTAAACTATAGACATGATAAATACAGCTGAATCCACCAGTAAAGAGTAAACAACACAAGAATACATGCAAAACTGACAAAGTTGAAATATACATTGTGAAGTTATTGAAGTGGATTTCTATGTTGCAACTTGTTGTGTATGAGTATACATGCACAAATTCATTGCATAAAGTTTTTGGGTCTGAGTTTGTGTTTTGTGCTGTCTCTTGTGTATTATTCGTTTAGTTTTATGTATTTTAAAGGCCCACTTGGGGACAGGCATTGCAAATTAGCTTGTGTGTTGCATCGTTTTATGCTACATACCTGTCTTTACTTAATAAAAAAAACAAAACTCCTCAATATGGAAATCATTTTGACATTTCTCCTGTGGTCTCCTCTAGAGCGGCCCATCAAATTCCTTCAAGAACTGAAGAATATTCAGGTCCAAGAGGGCAACGGAGTGACACTCTGCTGTGAGCTCTCCAAACCTGACACTCCAGTGCAGTGGAAGAAGGGAGACAAAGTGTTGACCAACGGAGAGAAATACCAGATGAAGCAGAGCGGCTCCAAGGTGGAGCTCCTCATCAGGAAAAGCCAGCCTGAGGACAGTGGCTCATACAGCTGTGTATGTGAGGACGTAAAAACTACTGCCACCATCATCATCACTGGTGAGAGCAAGTACACATTATGTAAAAGAAAACATGATCGTGCTTTGGTATCTTGCACGTCTTACACAGTATTTTGCGTTCACTCCTCAGGGATCCCAATAACTTTCAAGCAAAAGTTGAGGAACCAGGAAGCTGTGGAGGAAGGCAACGTGACGCTGCGCTGTGAGCTTTCTAAAGCAGGAGTCCCAGTGGAGTGGAGGAAAGATGCTCAACTTCTGATGGAGGGAGAAAAATATCAGATGAAGCAAGAAGGCAGGACAGCTGAGATGCTGATCAGAAATTTAACTCTTAAAGATTTGGGGGAGTACAGCTGTTTTGTTGGCACTGTTGTGACTTCAGCTGACATCAAAGTAAGAGGTATGTTTCACAACAGCTGTTACATAGAAAAACAGACCTGGTATTTCTGACAAAGTCAACTTGCAAGATGTATTCAGAAATCTAACAAGAAACAATACAGAATTGTGTCAAAACATGAGAGTGAACTATTTCCGCTTGTTTGTTTTTTTTGTCAGCACTTCCTGTTATATTTAAACAAGAGCTGGAGAAATTGGAGGTGAAGGAAGGGGACAGTGGAGTTTTCTCCTGCGAGCTCTCCAAACCTGGAGCTCCAGTGGACTGGAGGAAAGGCAGAGTCATCCTCAAACCTGGATACAAATATGAGATGAAACAGGAGGGACGTTTCACTAAACTGATCATCAACAACGTAGAGGAGAGTGACGCAGGGAAATACACCTGCAAGACGAATGACACCCAGTCAACCGCTGAGCTCATCGTCAAAGGTAAAGTAGAAATCCTATACTGAAAACATGACATCTGAGCCTTTGTACGACGATGTTATTTGATTTAATTGAAATTGAAAGCACTTATTAAAATAGGATGAAGAAAAACTATATAATCATAGTTCTTCTCCTTGCAGCTCCTCCCATCACATTCAAGACAAAGTTAAGGAACCAGCAGGTGGAGGAGGAGAACAGTGTGACGTTGAACTGTGAGCTGTCTAAACCCGGCCTCCCTGTGGAGTGGAGGAAAGGACAAGAGCTGCTGAAGAGTAATTTCAAATACCAGATTAAAAATCGAAACAGCAACATGGAGCTCACCATCAAGAACGCACAGCTGGAGGACAGCGGACTGTACAGCTGTATCTACGGTGACACCAAAACAACAGCCAACATCACCATTACACGTAAGGGAAGCCTGTAGATGCAGGCATGCTTGTTTGTTTTTGCATTAAGTGCACAAATTAAAAAAGTGTTTTCCTTGTAAAAAGAAATGCAATCATAGACACACATGAACACAACATGACCTTGCTTTTTCCACAGCTATCCCCCTCACCTTTAAAATGGGTCTGAAGAACCAGGAGGCCCCTGAGGGAGGCAATGTGTCCCTTCACTGCGAGCTGTCCAGGGCCGGGGTGCCCGTGCAGTGGTGGAAGGGGGAGGACCAGATCTATCAGGGGGGACGGTATCAGATGACGCTGAAGGGGAAAACAGCTGAGATGAACATAAGAAACATCCAGCCTGAGGATGTCGGGGAGTACAGCTGCATCGTGGGAGAGCAGAAGACGACGGCTGAGGTCAACGTCAGAGGTATTTGACACGCTGCCATTTTGAGTTTCTTACACTGAATTCTCAATTTAAAACTTATATTATGATCCATATGTTGCTTCTGCAGCTCTGTGTTCTTTGGTAACATTGATATTTCACTGGATTTCTGTTGCTTTGACAAGAATGCAAATGAAGCCAAAGATAATTACATTAGTATTTATTATTTTAAATGTGAGCCACCTTTTGTAACATCCTGTCTGTCTTTTTTTTATACCAGCGGCAGCATCTGTGTTCTTTGAGAAGGAACTGGAAAGCCAAGCGGTGATGGAGGGCAAATCTGTGCTGCTGTCGTGTGAAGTCTCCAGTGCTAATGTCCCTGTCACCTGGAAGAAGGACAACACTGTGATTGAAGAAGGAGGGCGGTACATTTTAAAGAAGAAAGGCCCAACACACAGCCTGGAGATCAAGAAACTGCACCTGGAGGATGCTGGAGAGTACTGCTGTATCACCAGAGGCAAGAAGACCACGGCCAAGCTGATCGTGAGGGGTAGGTGGTGACTATAATAGACTTTCACATTTTATTTGATCTAGTTTTATTTGATTGATACTCTTTTACAGTACAAGGAATGTGGCATGAATAAAGCCAACTGGCTGCTCTCATCTAAGTTGTTGTAAATATTTTCCATTCCATCTCTAAAAAGCCAGCTGTATATAGCTTCCTCTTCCTCCACAGAGCGCGTGCGGATCGTTACAGAGCTACAGGGTATAACGGTGACAGCGGGTGAGGACGCGGTGTTTGTGTGTGAACTGAGCCACGCAGACGTGAGTGAGGGTGTTTGGTGGCTTGGCTCCAGCCCTCTGCAGAAGAACGAGATGAACCAGATGATGTGCCACGGTCGCGAACAGCGGCTGGTCCTCACCATGACAACACCTGAGGAGACCGGCATCGTGGCATTTGTGATTGGGGAGGAGAGGACCTCTGCACGTCTGCTAGTTGTTCCTAAGGCCAGAGGTGAGCAGAGAATAAGGGATAGAGGGTGTAGTTTCTAAAAAGATAGTGTCATTTCAGAAAAATGATTTCCTCGGACATTTTAAAGTGACACTTCATTTCAAATTCTAGTTTTATTTGAGGAGAAGCCTAAAGACGTTGTGATCATGGAAGGAGAGACAGCCACTCTGTCCTGCACAATCTCTGATTTTACCTCCCTGGTTACCTGGAGGCGCAACCACATCCCCCTCCGAAATGGTGATAAATATGAGATACGTAAGGAGGGAAAAGTCAACCTATTGCTAATACATGATGTGGATCCCTTGGATACTGGCACATACTGCTGTGATACAGGAGACGTGCAGAGCAGTGCCAAACTTACTGTAACAGGTAAAAATGGAAATAATATAGCTTTTAGATAGCTGATTGATGTTACACACTTGGAATCAGAACTGTTATGTCTGAATAATACACTATTATGCCAAATGTCTCTTTCTCTCCTAATTTCCCAGAGCTCCCTCCATTCTTCCAAGAAGAACTGCAAAGCGTGGAAGTTGAGGAGGGAGGTTCAGCTGCTCTGTACTGTGAGCTGTCTAAACTTGGAGTGCCGATTCAATGGAAGAAGAAAGGGCTGCCACTAAGAGCCAGCCAAAAGTACGAGATCAGGCAAGATGGCTGTCTCCTCCAGCTGCACATCAAGGATCTCAAACTTGAGGACAGCGGCAGCTACTCGTGTCAAGCAGGGAGTGCAGAGACCACTGCTACTGTGACAGTGAAAGGTGTGTTAAATTGGCAGTGAACAATTATTCTGCGTTTGCTCTGCTTGCATTTAACCACACAACAAATGGGATGTACTGCAAATTTTACTACATCAGAATATTCTCTGATACAGAAAAGTCATGTATTTGTCAGTTGAGTTACTATGCTGTGATTATGTACAAAGCAATTCCCACAAAAATATTTTCAAGTGCAATTTAATCTCTACTACTACTTTATTGTCAGTGCTGAATGTTTCTAGTAAACCTCTGGCTTTGAAATGCAACTACTGCATGTACTATTATGCTAAACTAACATGCTAAACTAGATGTATAATTATATCCTTCCCAACCATCAGAGCTCCCACCATTCTTCAAGAAAGAATTACGAAGTGTGGAGGCTGAGGAGGGAGGTACAGCCTCTCTGTGCTGTGAGCTGTCTAAAGCTGGAGTGTCGGTGCAATGGAAGAAGAACAGACTACCTCTAAAAGCCAGCAGAAAGTATGAGATAAAACAAGATGGCTGCCTCCTGCAGCTCCACATCAACGAGCTCAAACCTGAGGACAGGGGGAGCTACACATGTCAAGCAGGAAGTGCGGAGACCACTGCAACTGTGTCAGTGAAAGGTGTGTATGGCAATGAAAATGTCAGTGTTAGCAATAACTTAATCATAGAAAATGTTTTTTTTTTTGTGATGATCAAACCTTCCTGAAAATCTGTATGATTTAATATGACACCACTGATCTATCATGTCAGTAGGCTACGCATTTCTACAGCCTAACTAATTTGCATTTTACTTCATTGGTCTCCTACCCTCCTGTCTCTCCCAGAGCTCCCACCATTTTTCAAAGAAGAACTGCAAAGCGTGAAAGTTAATGAAGGAGGTACAGCCTCCCTGTGTTGTGAGGTGTCTAAGCCTGGAGTGTCAGTGCAATGGAAGAAGATCAAGCTGCCACTTAGAGCCAGTAGGAAGTATGAGATGAAGCAAGATGGCTGCCTCCTCCAGCTGCACATCAAGGAGCTCCAGCCTGAGGACAGTGGCAGCTACACATGTCAAGCAGGACATGTAGAGACCACTGCTACTGTGACAGTGAAAGGTGTGTGCCATTGAAAATCTGCGTGGTAAATTTTACAGTATCAGCAAGCTCCAAGTCATGGAGAACTGTAATTACTGATTATTGTCTGAACTTGCTGAAACTCAGTATTTTCCAGTGGAGCAAACATTAATCATCTATCAAAAAATAAAACATATTGTCTACATCCTGTTTAGCCTTAACTTGATAATGTCTTAAATGTCTTCTTAAAAAAACATCCCACTGTGTTTCTCCCCACACATCCTACATTTCACAGAAGTCCCACCATTTTTCAAAGAAGAATTGCAGAATGTGAAGGTGGAGGAGGGAGCAACAACCTCTCTTTGCTGTGAGCTGTCTAAGCCTGGAGTGTCAGTACAATGGAAGAAGAACAGGCTGCCACTCAGAGCGAGCAGGAATTATGAGATGAAACAAGATGGCTGCCTCCTCCAGCTGTACATCAAGGATCTCAAACCTGAGGACAGTGGCAGCTACTCGTGTCAAGCAGGAAGTGCTGAGACCACTGCAACTGTGACAGTGAAAGGTGTGTGCATTTGTATAATTCTGACTTTCTTAGAACAGTCTCAGAATTTCATGCATTTTATTGTGCAATGCTTTCCTGCACTCTGATCCATCTTGTAGTCATTGCAGTCTACACTATATGGTAAACCTATCCACTTAGCAAATAGCTTTTCTAAAAAACATGGTGAGGTTTAAACTACTGTTTCCATCACAAAATAAATGTAAAATTCTGTTTTGTTTCCATGCCTATTTTCCCAGAGCTTCCTCCATTCTTCAAGGAAGACTTGGAAAGTCTGGAGGTTGATGAGGGAGGTACAGCCACCCTGTGCTGTGAGCTGTCTAAGCCTGGAGTGTCAGTACAATGGAGTAAGAACAGGCTGCCACTGAGAGCTAACAGGAAGTATGAGATGAAGCAAGATGGCTGCCTCCTCCAGCTGCACATCAAGGATCTCAAACCAGAGGACAGCGGCAGCTA